TTTCAATTTCCTTGTCACCGTTAGTTCACTTAAATTCTCAATTTTTCTGTTCCAGTCTACTGTCCACTTTCTTGTGTTTCTCAAAACTGATTCCACCAAATGGGCAATCAGAGAATGGCAACCAGAATTGGCCCAATAAAGTTCATAGTTTTAATGGTTGTATAAACTCACGTGTCCGACTGTTCCGGTAAATCCAAGTCCAACACGTCCACATTGATTCGCTGAGTTGGTCTGCCGACCAGCTGATAGGCACAAGTCAATGCATCTGGATGGAATCCTGGGTAGGTGGGAGAAATCAATTCCCCGGTCAGACCAGGCAGATCTCCCGGATCGACTGCGTTTAGTTCATCACTTCCCATTGTGGCCGCGTCGATGCGAAATCGACAGGCGGGCATTGTACTCACCGGTCCCGGAATGGTCAATTCCGTAGGAGAGAGCACCCGACCGGGATAATAAGCAGCTAAGCACAGAACCAAGGGGGGAGGGGGGGGCGGAAGGCGGTTTTAATGATAGAGGCTGACTCTTGTCAACTTAAGTATTTCTCTCTCTCTCTTTTGAGTATCAGCATAGTAGGAAATCAAATAAAAATTAGGTTAATTTCACAAAAGAAACTCCTGCTGTCAAAATTAGAAATCGTAGTGTCCGTTGGTTGCATCAAAGATTTTAATAATATTGTTAGGACGGAGCACACAGAACCCGTCAGGCCACGCATCTGTCCGCGTCACACCACAAGTGCTTTCGCGACGTCTAAAGTCGAATCGATTCCGGATTGGATGATTAAGGCGAATCAGATAGCTGTTGTCCTATTGATCAACCGGAGTATCAAGGACGCGATCTGATTGGTGCGTCACCACGTTGTTTCTCGTACGCCCAGTTCGCCACATATATTTGCGTATTGAGTCATGATCAATCCTGCACTCTGACTGTCGTTTTCTGAGCCGTGTTCTCTCTCTCCGTATCGTTGTTGGGGGCTAGTCAAGATGCGCTCATATCGATCATACGTCTTGGCAAAACATAGCAAATATAATCTACTTTCTATCCGTTGAAAACTTCATGTTTCATCATCAGAACAGTTTTTTGTTCAAGTTACTACTTGGGATCTATTGTAGTCCAGGTTAAGTAGGTAGATAATTACGCAGTGAATTAAGCAATACGTTTATTGTAGACGGTAAATATGTAGCTGATTCATAGACCGGTGAACAAGTGTGATGGAAGGAATTAAGAATGGGGCCCAACCAACCAGATGCGCTGACGTAGCGACTGGAAGTACTTCACGAGTCAATGTCGACTACCACTCGAAACGAACGAATCGACCATTACAGCCCGATAGGCAATCCGCGGCTAGCCAGATAGATATCCACCGAATACCGCAACGTTGGAGCTATCGATCAACGTATCTTATGCCACGATCGGGTCAAACCGGTCGGAACGGTGCGCCGAAGAAGAGGCGACGTACGTGTCAAATGTGGACCAAAACCAACAGGGATTGATCAACAGAATGAGGTATGAATCGTCCTGTCGCGCGGTTAAAAATTGAATGTATATAAGTGAACGAGCAAACCGATTGTTTTTGAATTGGATCAATAAACGTTTTGCCAGCCAACTCGCCTTCTACACTACACAAGTACGAACGGGCAACACGCAGGAAGGCACATAGGCAGGCAGACAACTGTCTCAAGCATTACACAACATCCTTAGGCCATCAGGTATGCATTCAGACAGTCAGCGAATGTGATCAGTGAAGACATTTTAATGCAAATATCCGATGTACTGGAGCCGAACGATATTGTGGTGGTGTCCATTGGTATGGCGTGAGTGCGTGCGTGTGCACCAGCTGACAATATCAGTCAGTCAATCGATCAATCAACCTGACCACAGATATATACTTGACAAACGTATCAGTCAATTGTAGGATAAAACATCGTCTAAATT